CATTTCATGATTGAAAAAATAAAAACACTCTACACTATCTGGGCACAGCAGGTTAGGGTTAGGAAGAGCTGTGGCAAAGACACTGTGACTAAGGTATGGTCATGTTAGGCAGCTGAAAACCTGGATAGAGATCTGGAAAAACTGTGGCCATACAGCTTCAGGACAAGCACAGTTTGTGATCACACAGATTCATATTTTTTTTAATTTTCACCTCCTGGTTTGCACACCATGATCCACAGCACTTCCTGCTACTGACTTATTGTTGTGGCCTTCCGCTTCATCACCCAGCCCGTCTCTACCACTGCTCCAACAACTCACAGCTGTTTCCCATCAGTGTCGTTATCCAGCCTGCAGATAAATCCGCCATCTAAAGTTCAGCTTGGCTAGCTGGTTGTCTGAGTTTGTCCCCAAAGACTTTGTTTCTCAGTTTGGACTCAGCCCTTGGTTGATTTCAGACTTCTGGTTGTCAGGTCTTTCTGGCCTGTTTAAACAGTATTTGCTCCTGTGACCAGTTCTCACTTTAGTTAAGTTTGTAAACTTAATACCTGCTAAGTGTAGGATCAGTTTCTTCACTGATCTGCCTGTTGTGTGTTTGTCTACTTCCTGTTAGCGTTGTTGGCTGCAGCCTAGGTTTTTCTGTACAACTGCCTTCATCCTGTGAAACTTCAGTGTTTGTTGTTACCATCTAATCTACAAGGAGGTTATTTTAGTGCAGTACTGGACAAACAGACGGGAACATCAGGTAAAGTGAGGGGAAAATATCCTGGGTTATTCAATATTTACAAAGCAGAGATGGTTAAAGTTGCCAGGTTGAAGAAAGATTTGAAAGCTGAAATAAAAACTATGTTGCCAATTCAAATACTCTCAGCTGCAGCTCCTTTCATGAGTCTAATGAAAGGAGTTATTCACCCAGTGTGGAGCTGCTGAAGATTTGACCTCAGTTCTTTGAGAAAATGAGGTAAGAGGGCTCAGAAAAGAGAGAAGCTGTTGGGAGTGGAGAGGTTATTTTTGTTTTCCAGGGTGGAGCTGGGTTGTCAGGTTAGATTGGTAAGAGTCTGCACTGAAGGACGTACAGTGAGAGGGACGTCAGTGTTGCCACTTCAGGTCCTCTTAAATGAAGAGGGTTATTTTGTGCAAAATGAAGTTTTGACACTGATGTTGCCAGGTTGGATCAAAGGCTTAGAAACAAGGTAGTCAGGTATGAAAAGCTGTGCTGCTTATTTAGAAAATGTTGCTGAGGTTGATACTGGAGAGAGAGGTTTTAACCACCAGGGTATGTTACAGAAACACATAATTCAAAACATAAAATGTACTTTCAAAATGTAGAACTTATTTGAGTTTTTTTTTCTCACTGCAGTAACTTCACTTCAGTATGTTTAGTTTCCAGACACCACCTCCATGGAAGAAAGATTCATGACATTTAGTGGTGTTTTACATTTTTCCCCATTAAGACTTTAAGATGTGATTAATCACCCGCCATTATATGCTCATGCTGTGCAGTCAGACATCATTCACACCCACAGAACATCCTCTTAAGTTCTAATGGAGAACCCAGAGTTTACAAAAATTAAATTTGACAGAATGGTGTGGGCATAAAAAGTCTTGGATTTAAATATTTCCCTCAATGTGGATGTCACATGTCGGCGAAGAACTGGGACAAGCTGATAGAGAATATGTTACTGTCAGCCACTGTGGCATTAGAGGACTGTGTCAGTGCTGAATCTTAGGAGGAATTGAAAGAATTAAACTTGCTGGTGGGGTTAAAAGAATCCTTTAAATACTTGTGACAATGTAGGAGCAGGACATTTTACAGTATAAATATGTTTCTGCTGGACAATAGAAACATTTGTAAATGACCTTAAACATACTGTATAACTTCTTGTCAGTTAACCAATACATACTAGGTACTGACATGCCTCCAGTCAGCTAAAATGATCCCATTTAACATGTAATAATTGTAAATAATGTATATAAATGTAAATAATTATGGAATTAAAAGCATGTGCAACAATAGGCGAGTATAGAATATGAAGCAGGTGACCGGAGCTTCTCGGGCCTGAATGTTCACTACAGAGTGGAACTGAAAGTCGGCACCAGGTGATCTGTGTGTGTTGTAGTTCTGAGGAGCCAAACAGAGTGCACAGCACTTCAGAGCAGAATAGATGAGTGGTTCGTAGATTCCTCACATCCCTAATACAAGATGTGTGACTTCCTAAAAGGATGAGAATGCTGGCTGACTGCCAGGGGCGGCTTCCACCAGGAGGGGTTTTCTCAAAGTCAGATTACTGGGTTAACCTACACATTCATGCTGATACTGTAGTGTCACTGACAATGGTGGCAGTGGGTAAGTCTTGGCCAAACCCAGTAGTACTCTTTACATTTCACCAGTGCAAGACAGCTTTTGTTGTAGTACACCTGAATTTGTATTGTTGTGTAACTGACTCTTCTGGTGTTCCCACCCGCCTTGTCTCCTCCAGTTAACCAACCAGCAGTGAGACAAAGAAGGAACAACTGGATCCTGGTGTGTGGTTATGTTGTGTTTCTCATGTCTTTACTTCCTGTTCTGTGTCAGAGCTGAAAGTCAGCCAGGTGCTGAAACCAAATCTAAGACTTTGCCAAAGTTCTAGACAGCTGGAGCTTCTTTCCTGCTTTCACATGTGGTTGTAGCTGTAGGATGTATCTGTATGCCACAGCGTGTGATTTACTTTCAGCAGGTACTGTACCCACAAGGAACAGCAACGCTCTGAACAACTATGCAGACTCAGAAATGCAAATTCCAAAACCTGCTGCTGTTCTTATTGGACTTTTTTTCTTTTTAATGAATGACCACAGGGTCTCTGGGGATGGGTAAAAGGAGGCTCGTGGACTCAGCTGAGGCCAGTGTAGAGTTGCCAGGCTGGAATGATTTATGTTGGGGCAGCAAGGTGAGGACTGCCAGCATTATTTTATAGAATTGCTGACAGTTCCCAACCAGAAAATATGCTTAGGAACCCAAACAGTTTTTCACTGTCACCTATTTAGTCTTTTCTATTTCAGTCTCAGTGGATCTTTTGAAAAGTGTGGCAGCACAGTTTAAGAAGTGAGCCAAGCTTGTCTCCCATATGTCTCTATGGGAGACTGGATGTTGAATATTTCAGTGGGGATGATGAAAGCCTGGAAACATACTGATTGAGAGAACAAGAGCAGGATTTTATGAAGTGGCAAAAATAAGAGACAATGAGGCCATTTAATCAAAATTGCACTTGAAGCTATAGAGGTGAGTGAGAGGGACTTCACACCATCTGTCTATGCTCCCTTTAGCTCCAACGGTTTTCATTGGCTTCATTTGTTCTTCCATGTTTTTACCATCAGAGTGAACAGCCACGTAGAGCCTTGGCAACAACCAGACAAGGTCAGCTCTGTACCTGGAAGCAGCAGGGAATTACTGCAGGTTCAGCCAGACTGCATGAGACCAGGCTGCCAGGTGTCACTTCAATCTCTTACACTAGGCTGGTAATACAGCACCAAGGGACTGCTCCAGCAGTTGGTTATCATATTTTCAGCTCAAAGTATCCAGTATAGGCTGAAATAGCCCAACATGTAGTCCCTCTTAAGCGCCCTAAACACTACATTACCCATAATGTAACTCGTGCTGTCTTTCATTAGTTCATGCCCACCTGGGAAACGCACGTCTTTCAAACAGTTTCTAACACAGGCTTTCGGTTATAAAGGTGAGATGACCATAATATTACTGTGACACTGTTAATTTCTCAAACGAAGTAAAGCTTCCTTAATGCCACAGGTGCTATTTCAGTCTCGGTAGTACTGACTAGTACACAGTCAAGATACTGTAGGAAGTGGTTGAAAATCTCTGCTGTTTTTTACATTGACCTACTGGAATGACATTTGCAAAGTTCAACATACATCTGTGCATGTATTCTGCAGTGCAAACTTTTTTATTTATTGTGCCACAGTAAAAGTTTCCAACATTTCGCAGGCTTATCGGTGGATATGCACATAACGGTTCAGTGTTTTCATTTCTGTGAAAATAGACCTGACACCAGAGTTATCAGTGCTTATCTCATTATTGTGCCTCTAAAACCACAGAGTTAATATTCAGACATAATCTATTTATTTACACAGGGACAGTGTACACTGAACATCTCTGGAAATGTGTCTGAGTTAGCCAAAGGCTGATTTTCATCTGTAATGCTTGGCTTTGCCAGAAAATGTAATCAGTGTGATCTGATAAAGTGAGAATATGTAAACCATGTATGTTTTTCCTGTATTCATTTTTTCATCCATTCAGTTTGAAGGAACTTGTTCAGACAGGAGCCAGCTGTTGGTGTCATCTAGGACACTGGCTGTAATGTGATTTAACATTTATTCTACTGTTAATTCAAGTCACTAGGCTACATTGATCTAGGATGGGCACTTTGATACATAATTGGGTGTACATGATAGCCCTCTGACCTCTGTCTCATGCTATTTTTTTTCCATTTAAAGTGTTGTGTAGAAATTGAGATTGCAGATCATCAAATGTGTTACTTTTAGCTTTAGGTTCCTGCAAATCCTGAAAGTGATTATCAGTTGGATGGGTGTGTTTGGCTCTATGCCACTGTGCACAGCATTGTTAAACCAGCTTGGCAGTGCTGCTGAACTACCTGGTCTAGTATAGAGCCCTGCACCACCACAGGGGTTGTTTTTCAGTGAAACAGTGGCTGGGGTGTAATGGTTGACCAGGCCGCGGTTCTGCTGCCCGGTATCAACTTCAGCCTCACTTTCTTTTTGAAGTCTGAGCTCTGTCACTGAAGCCTCTTTGACCCACAAAGATCCCTTTTCTGTCTCTCCCTGTTGTTACGTCTCTGGATTTCTTTTTTGTCCTGATTTGAAGGATGATGCCACTTTACCAGCCAAGTGGCCATTTGGCTGCTCTGCCATCCTTTCACTGCATCTGTTCACTTGTCACCCTTGCTCCGTTCCTCCCCTCTCACCACTCATCCTCCTCTTTGTCTGTGCAGGCAAACTTGGCAGACTTTGATGGACAGCTGGCTGAGTCAATGACGAACTTTGAGGACTTGTAACACACGTCTGCAGGGTCCTCCAGTCAAACCTCTGTGGCCATGTGCACTACAATGTGCATGTGAACCCAGATGAGCGCCAGCACTGCTTCATGCCCCGAGAGAAGAGGTTGCCCATCCCTCACTGATAGAGGTAGGATGCTGTTTGGTACGAGTCATTTAATGGAGATCTATCACTGCCAGCGACTGCGGTCAGAGCATTTAATTTAGTTTGATAATTATATTTGAGTCTGTCTCAGCACAATCTAATCATCTCAGTCTTCAGTTCTGGCTTAGGCCTGATGCCTCATTTGCTTTCTGCTTTTGATTGGCTGAGCTTGATGGCGATACATCAGATCTGATTGGTGGAGGTGACTAATTATGGATTCACTGGCTGCAGGCTGATTTAAGTCCAGTAGTGTCAGCATGATTCAACATAATCTTCGCTAGAAACACTGATGTGGTGTTACAGTTGTTTCATCATCCACTAGCTGCAGGATGTGTGCCTGAGACATCTCATCTGTTTTTGTTGTACTGCAATGTGTAATTGAGGCATGAAATATACTGGAAAATGTCCTCAATGCAACACTTGTCAACAGTAGAAATGCATCCAAAATCTATAGACTGTAAAGGTTCAGTGCTTTGCTGTTTGCCTGTGGTCTTTTTCCGGCACTTCCTGTGCTCTGCTCAATTACAGTGTACAAACTTTTTAAATTTCTCTCTGGTAGAGATTCATTAAAACTACTGTTGAACTGCACAAGATAATATCAAAGTCAGTGAAATGGAGCAGTTGCACCTGCTGGGTTTCTTACCACAGTGTCGCGCATGATCAGCTCCAGGTGGCCTTGGCAGTGGGAAAAGCTCTGAAATCTTTTTCTTTTTTCCAGTTTGATATTCCTGATTTCTTGCAAGACACGTCAAACCATTTGAGTGGGTGTAAGAAACTGCTTCCTCTGTTTATTCTGTCTTTTAGAATTTAAATGTAATGTCCTGTTTAAAGGTTAAAACCCATAAATGTACATCAGGGCTTGATGGGCTTCTGGTGTCCCAGAGGTAACCTCACTAATGGCTTTTACATAAACTCATAATAGAAGAAAATGTTTGACACAGCTTGCAGTTGGTGTGTGTGTGAGACAGTGACTGGAGCTAATGCAGCCTTTATAGCTGCACTAGTTTGTGTGCGCTGACTGAGTCGTCTGAAGCAACTCTGATGAACAAATAGGTCCATTAAGTAGCTATTGATCTCTTAACACACACACACACACAGTGAAATGAGCCTCTGAATGTTCAACAAATCTGCATACACCTCCACACTTCATTATTTCTTTTTCTCACAAACAGCATTTGCCTTTTGTTTATGTACACAAACCAGGCACAGTTGTATCGTTCCTTTGACTTTGTTTCAGTGAAGGCTTCTATACCTTTCTACAGGTTGCCCTGGCCCTGGAGCTCTACGTCTCTGATGAGCAGCCACCTCGACCTGA